TTAACATTTTATCAAAATTAAAATTTACTTACTTTAACAAGTCTTCCTGGATTACAAAAAGGTACTAAATTCTTTGGGTCTGTTATAAAAGAATGATATTGTTTTCCTAAATCTTCTAATTGTTGACGAATTAAAAAATATGATCTTACGTCAAATTCGTTGTTTATTATTATTTTGTTTTTTTCAAGAGTTAATTTTTTTACTTCTACAAACAAATAAAAAATWTACAAATATGATAAAAACTAAAAAAGAATCGTAATTTAACAGGGAGTAAAAAGATGACTAAAATTTTAGAATATCGGATTTCGTGTCTGAAAACGGTTTCAATTATTTTCGGTTTTTGGGTGTGAAAAACGGTTATGGGTTAACCGGTTTTTGAAATCTGTTTCAAAACTGTTTTTACTCCCTATAATTTAATTTAAATACTATCAGTTCTACAAGAGAACATGCAGCTTTTGTGTACAACAGTCAGCAAAATTTAGCCATATGGAGAGAATATGACAGCCTAGTGGGTCAACAGACCTCATTCAACATGCACAGAAACAGCATGTTCCCTCGTGGAACCAAGTATATTCTTATATTTTCATAAATTAACAAAATTAATAAAAACCCATAATAATTACTAACTTTCGACTAATTCTGGAATTGCAGATTGATTTTGAAATTGGAAAAAACTTCTTTCTAACATATATTCTGGATCAATTTCTTCTACACGCATTAAATTCAAAACCATGTTGTATGTTAAATGAAATGCTGAATTAAGCGAATCAGGCTTTCCTTGTACAATGTTCCTGACAGTATCAGGACTAACTTTCTCATCAATTATCAACATAACAATACCTTTGTCATCTAAACCTCTTCTACCAGCTCGACCAGACATTTGTATATATTCTCCAGATGTTATCTATAACAATTATTTTATCTGATGACTATGAGGGTTAAGTTAAAAATAGATATATTTTTAATAATAAACAAAATACTTACAAATCGTCTTTCTTTGCCATCAAATTTTCGAGGAGCAGTAAATAAAACTGTTCTTGCAGGCATATTTAGGCCCATAGCAAATGTTTCAGTAGCATATAAAACTTTTAATAATCCTTCACCAAACAAAATTTCTATAGTTTCTTTTAAGATTGGTAAAAGACCTGAAACACATAATTTAACAATAAAATGGTTATCATTTTTTTTTTTTTAATATTAAGATTACTTATAAACTAATAATATTTACCTCCATGATGAATACCGATGCCTCTACGAATTAATGGTATTATATTTATAACAGCTGGTAGTTTACGGTCTTCCTCTGACAATACTTTTGTAGCATTTTCAAATAATTTATCAATTAATCCTTTTTCAGTATCTATAATTATATGACATGAGTTTATTAGTACTTGATTAAAATACCCTAACTATAATCATTTTTAACTCCAAAAATGTACTAAGTTATTGACTTAAAACCTSATAATAATATAGTGAAACTTCTATTTAACAAAATTTTCTGTTTAATGTATAAAGTAGCTAAACTATAGTGACAAAGTATATACAATTAAATAAGTTATGTGTGCTATAGTAACTAATTCAGGGCCTAGAACTTCAAATAACCCATATTTGTAATAAATTAGTATATGTGAAATCTAGTTTAGTTTGTTATTAGTGTTTC